ACTACCACTTACTGCTAAAGCCATCTATAGGAAAATGGCGGAAGCAAAGTTGTACACCTTATATATATATATATATATATATATATATACACACACACACACATATATATACACACATCACACATACAATCTACACATGAAAATATAAATATATATGAATACTGAATTTACAAAATACAGAAAAATTAGAGACGGAGTTAAGCATATTTGTCCACAAATCTAAATTCTTGAAAATTAATAAATTAAATAACATATATTACACGCGTTATCTAATATTTCCAGAATTACAGTTCTAAGAGAATTCGAGATTTTTGAATTATGAAATCGACAAAGAATTAAGAGAATAAAGAGTAAATTGTAGTTTTTAAATTCATTTTGATCAATATCGCATGCGTAAATGCACATACAACTTTACTCTATGAAAGTTGCATTTGCGAATAATGCGGTTATAATCAGTTAATGAATAAAACTTGCCATAATCAGCAAGGAGGTCACACTATATAAAATTCCAAGAATTTTAAAAAATTCTAAAAACTATGATTTTGAGATTCCGGAATTTTAATCATGACAATCAAGTGTCAAGTTTCAAAAATCGATGTTCTTATTAATGCGTATACGTTTCTTTGTGACATTTCCTTTAATTTCGTTTAATTATGTCGTCGCGTGACACTGAAATATAATAAAAAATATTAAAATTCTAAATCTTATTCGAGTAAAATATTTTTATAGGTTAATTCTCACAATTACTTGCATTCTTTTCAATCATGTTGTCAAAAAGAACACGTGCTTTTATTAGAAGGAAAATATTCTCTATTTTTTTTATTTACTGTGTTTGTTAGAATAATCAATCTAAATATAAGAATATGTACTCTCATAGGAAACTTGCAGAATTTAAATTTAAATTTTAGAATTCATGAAAACACCGAGAAAATTTATTTTAAAAAAATGAATCGCGTATTTTTTCAGTGTTTTGTCATTCGCATCATTTTAATGTATCAATAAACATCTAATTAAATCATGATGTATCCTTGCTCCTTGTTTCGTCTTTTAATCATTCTTTTCTTTCACCAACCTCGATTAAGTCAACCGACAGTTACATGGGACTCAATTTCACAACTTATGATTAACTTTTAACTGAGGTTTAATTTATTTTAAGTAATAATGAGTAATAATGAGTTGTGAAACTGGGCCTAAATGAGCCCCATGTAATGTCGGTTAACTTAACTGGTTGATAAAAGAGGTTGATAAAAGAGATCTTATTATTGCATGTTTTTTATATGCAATATTAATATAAAAGAGAAAAAAAAAGACAGAAAGACGTAATAAAATTACTTCAATTTTTAAAACTAACTTTCTTTATTCACGCTGCCATTTTATCCGCATTCTTATTGTATCCAATATGATTTAAATTTCTCAAATTCTCATCAGCCACTCTCTACTTATTAACTACTAAAAACAATTTCACATACAAAAATAATAACAATAAGAGATAATAAACAACAAAGATTCAATAACTATAATTCATATTCACATAGAAAGTAATAAAAACTTGTCTATTTATATATATATGTATACATGTACGTATATATATATATGAATTATATGCAAAAAATACTAATTCTGATGGTCCTGCATATTTCATGTTTATACATATCAAAAGGCATTCCTACATTTCGGTACTTTGCTACATAAAATATTTTCAGTTCAAAATATTATTATCAGAATTACGGATATGCAATATACGTATTATAATACAGAACAATTGTTACATCATGTGATAAACTGTCGGTAATATCCGAAATAGAATATGTATGTGTATTATTCAGAATTCTATGACTTTACATATAAAAAGTCTTCTTAAAGTATGTATTACAACTTTAAGTGAGCTTAATCTCGATATCTTTTAACAATTTTCTATCCTTCAATATAATGTTTCTAAAAATTAAACAAAAATTTCCAAAATGTTTATTCATTCAATAGTTTGATTACCGAAATATTTTAACCGTTAAAAGCGAGACCTTTATTTGAAGCCTCATTGTTCCAATTATATTTTTTTTCCCTCGATCATTGACGTTTTTTTTTTTAAGAAATTTCTTTCGATTTGTTTTACATAATATACATCTTAAAGTATTTACTTTCACTTATCCAATTATATAAAACAATTATTATCATACGCACTGTTGTAAATAAATAAAATAATAATGAAATAATTAACTTGATGTTAAGTATATCAATGCATTGTGATTGTAATTACAATATTATCCTGTAGCAATTCGTAATAATTTTTTATGTTAAGTATCGAAAGTTGTATACGCGATTCGACGTCTCTAGCAGCAATGTAGCGATATAAATCTCGCAACAATGTTCTTTATATTATACTTCGTAATATTCAATGCGTTAATAATGGCGTAACTTCTTGTGCCTCTTTGACTCGTGAACATCGGTTGCTTAACAGTATCACAACATGAATCTTCAAACATGTAATATAGCGACATTTGGAGAACTCTACGAGATACATTGGATAAATATATAAGTTATATATTATGGCGCATATAGTAGTATATTGTACATATTTTCTTCATGGAAACATTAAGAAAGGAAGTGTAAGTAAAAAGGCACTATTTCCGGGTATGGGAAAGAATCAGTTTCTTTAGGCCTCCCTAACTTCTATCAAGTCCCACCACGACATCACAGACCATTAACAGAAGTTACGCCGCTGTGAATATGTCACCCTCATTTCATTACACTTGCATACTTGTAAAGTCTTAATCCATTATTCATTCATCATAGAACATACCAAACGGTATTTTAACGGAGTAAATTATAAATATAGCCACTCTTAAATTCAATATGTTCAAGCATACCCAACAAATACACTGGAAGCATAAACTTATTGATTAGTTGCTTTATAAACTAGAATGGAATTTATCATACGCTACAAAACGATGGAATTTTCTCTTATTATCATACAGTTGACTAGCCACTGAGAAAATTATTAATTGGCAAGAGAAAGTTCAATTTTTTCTACGCACAGTTTCAATATGCACATTATTTAGTCACAATGAATATCAGCTTGCTGTAATTGCATTATGTAAAAACACCGGTGTTACGTTATATTGACTGTCGAGGATGACATCGATTTAACAATCATTTCATTAAACAGGTGTTTCGTGATCAGTCTCTTCGATTCTTCCCAATCTCCAAGCATTCGGATCTCCTGCCGCTGTAAATCGAGAGCAACTTTTAAAATAATCATAATATGAAAAGATATAAATAAATAAATAAATTTTAAAATAAACATATTTAAATTATCATGTATTATATATTATAATTATACTTTTTTATTTGTAAGAAAATTGTAGAGATAGTATAGATATTAGAAGCAAATACATTACATGTTTTTATAATATTTTCAGTTATAAATGTAAAAGAAGGTAAGAATTACACAAGCATCGAAATACATCATTCTCCTTTCAATTATTATTATTAATTTTCAAGATTAAACATGTTTTTGAAAACGAGTGGAAAATCTTGTTTATGAGTACTACTTTACGTGTATTTGGATTTATCGTGTACAAAAATTTTCGAAAACATGAAGAAACTCACCTCTTGATACAATATCCAGGAAGAACAACAATTATGGAATTACTCTGCGACATTTGTGTAATATATATGCATCCATTGCAGGAACATATATCACATACAATTTTTGTGCTAGAGTGTTGTACGATCGGTAGGCAAGGACATTACAGCGAAGTCTGAACGCTGTTCGATATAGGATGCGGGAGAAATGTACAGGATGGTACACATAGGTGGTTCGTATGGTGAAGGGTATTATTCAATACTTCTTGATTCGTGTACAGCAGCGGCATTCTCTCTTCTATTTCCAAAGCGAAATCAAAGTTGATGCAAAATCATAAAAAAGGTGCATATAAATCAATACAAAGATCTAAAACATGTTTATTATATTTTGATAAATATAATAAAATGTTACGTATCAAAACTATATTACTTTAAAATAAAAAATATGGTATATTTTAAAGTAAAATCATGATATGTAAGTGTACATATGCACACTATGTAAATGGCTTTATTTGTATAAAATATAAAGATTATGCGTTCGTGAGTTTTCTCTGTGTCCACATCCATTCTTAGAACGAAGAAAACCCGCGAAATGCATAATCTTTACATAGAAAGCACCCATAGAAGCCTCAAGAATATTATTTGTATAAAATGTTTATAAAAATTTTATGTAACAAATTTTAAGATACATATATAATGAACAAAATTATATTTACTATGGGATTATATCATGAAAATGTTAAAAACGCAAGAGTATTATTACAAAAGTGAACAAACTGGATACATATAAAACATGCACATGCCTGATTAATGTAGAAAATGTGCATTTTGCTAATTATACATAGAAAGGAATTGACAAAAATGTATAAAAAATAAACGAGATACAGTCTCTTTTGCTTTAAGAAGAAACTGTGTCTCAATATTAAAATGTACTAGTAAAAGTGAAAATAAAACCAATTTTACACACATTTTTAATTGAAATCTTTAATATTCGCAAAAATAAAAATTGCAGAAAAATATTTATACGTACCTTGAAGTTGACGACTGATGAGAGCAGTAATCCCTTGACTATCACCAGTCTTTTTTACAACAAAAAGTTTTGTATCAGGATCATTTTCTAAGGCTCCAATACCACCCAGACCAATTATCTGTCCATTCTGCTGCTGATGACTGCTAGCAGCCATTGTTTCACTCACCTATACAAATAAATATGAAAATATTAAAATTTTTTATTACGTTTCAATAGCTAACAATTCTATAACTTAACAAATTATAATAAACATTCGATATTATTGTGATTTTTAAAAAAGAATATACCTGCATCAATTTTTTAACTACATCTCTGCCCAAAATGTGATCAAACACTGCCTGCAGGAATTGATCGCTAATAATGCTTAATTTTAGTTTGTCTCTGTGCCATAATAATATTCTTGATTCTTCCATAGCTGTTATGGACACCTAAGCAAATATAACATTAAATATATATCTACGTATTGGCACATATTGAAATTATTAAATCAGATAGATAGAAGATCAGATAAATAAAAAAAAATATAAAAACTAATTAAGATAATTTACTGATATGAAAAATATCGATGATAAAGAAAAATTTACTTGGAAGTATTCATCTGTCGAGACACCAAACCATTCTGGAGAATCCAGGAACTGATGTGGGAAGACGATATGCAATGCTCTTCCATTTTGCGATACAACTAGTCTGTTAAAAACGAGAAAAAAAAATTTTTAATAGAGATCTTACATATAACAATGAATAAAAATACGAAAAATGTATTCTTACTTTCCCGACAGCACCAACGATAAAGAATCGACTTTGGTCACTTTTTCTTGTGCATAAACTTCTTGATACTTCAACTGGCGAATGATCTTCATACAATTTAATACTTTTCTGAATTGATGACGCGACACCCGTAATGGCTGGAATACTGCAACATATACCTACATAAAAGAAGACGATTATAAAATATTTTTATTTTAAGTGACTATTTTAAATAAGTATCAAAGATTTCAAATAAAACTTTATCTGTTATATTATAAATATTAAATATTGTTTTATTAATTGCTAATGATTAAGAAGAACATATTCTATTAAATAGAATATAAATTTTATAACATATATTACTTGATTTCAAATAAAATGTGTCTCACA